GAATATTGCAGCAATGTATCTTGTACTCAATGTAAGTTGTAATTCAGCACTTTGAGCAGGTAGCAATTGCTCCAATTTATTTACTTTTGTTCAGAAAGGAGATGCAGACATAAAAGAAAAGAAGGTCATAATTACATTATACCTGGAATTAGCTTTCTTGCCAAGTGATGTAAGTGTTTATCCTTTAGTTCTATGTCATTGCTCATTTTCCATCTGTAATTAAGAGCAACCAAAAATGTGTCCAAAGGTACATTTTCAGGAACAACAAATGGTTTTCTTTCCTAAATACAAAAAGATATTGATAATAAACACATCATTTATTTTATATATTCAATGGACAAAAACAACTGTATGTTGGGATTCCTGTGTTATTTTATTTAAACACAGGAACCCCATGCTTAAATCACTATTATGGGAGAGAATATTGTTTAACATTTATGAGAAATGGAGGTAAATAATTTTTTTATCCTGAGACAAATAATTGTAATAGCATAAAGTTCCTTAGAACATGCACTACCACTGGTTCAAATTATTTACCTTTTCACCAAAGGCACTGTCCCAAAAGACTGTTGCTTCTACTGCTTCTCTTTGGTAATCAGGCTTGCTMACCACCACAAATGGAGTACTTATAGTCTATAAGAAGTCAAAAAATAAGTAAACCAAAAGTTACAACAATTCATTAAAATTATAACCAAAAACGTTGTATAAAAAAAAAAAAATTATATAAAAACTGATTCTTCAATATTGCATACAATAATCTCTTTAAAAGATTCAAATGTGAAATAAGCTATCATAACAGATTAATATTAATGTCTGTTCAAATGGCTGGTTTAGTTCTCTTTACTTAGCAATTTTTATTAAGTATAATTTTTATCCCTATCCCATAAATTTCCCCACCCTCATGCAGATATCATGGTTTTTAATTTTATTTCTTGATTCTTATTTACAAAGAAAACAAAGTTCTCACCTCAAGGGGGTAAGGCTGGCCATCAAAGGTAACCTGAGTCCTAAAGAGAAAACAGCTTTTCTGTTCTGCCACAAGACCTTTTCCAGAGCAGCCCTGTTTGCACATAGAAGAACAACAGCTGACTGGACTAGACTGAGTGAAATAGACTTTATCTTGATATTCATATGAAGAAGTTGAGCTCTAACACCAGAACTAAATCTAAGCATGATTTCTTTATGATTTAATTGTTACATTAATTTTATCCTATGTATAAATTGTACCAACCGGCTGAGCACTTTTTGTATTCACTGTATTCTTCTTAGAAGTTGGGATTTTCTGTTGTAAAACATAATTAATACATGTGATTTTGATCATTCTTTTAAAGTCAAAAACAGATTTGATCAAAATATAATGAAAAGAAAAAAGATATGATAATGGCTGATCTTCCACACTATTCAAGTCCAAATTTATATAAAATGTCTGGAAAATCAAGCAAGGAAAAACAAATTGTAATAATTGGGAAATTTGCTTAATTCAAATTTCCTGCCCCATAAAGGTGTGACCAAGTGAATTAATTCTTAATTGTTTCAGGACATTTTAGACTTCGAACTCTCTTTGGACTAAGCGTGAGTAAAAAAAAGCAAGCACGCTTTATGAAAATCTGAGGACATTTTGGAAGTACAATGTAAAAATTAACTAGCAAAAAATGACAATCAACAATCAGATCTAGCCAATGTACTTGCCAGTACGCTGTCCAAAGCAGAACTGACTTTATTACATAACAACTGACACATTGTGTGATCGCTCACGTCACACTGCACGTCACACTTAACCGTAACGTACATTATTTTCAACCTTTCACAAAGGAATATACTGCTATCATTTCAACTAATCTCAGTGTGTGTGTTATAATCTGTCAATATTGTAAAGTATTTACCATTTTGTCATACATAACTCTTAACACATTTACATTATCCTTGTCTTCTTTGAAAGACTGAAATGATAAAAAAAAAATTTCCATGTGATATGCATGCCTGGAGCATGACTTCGAGCAGTATTATTTTAATAAAAAGATATCATAATCAATAAATTACAAGCCTTTTAATAGATTGTGCTGACTGTATAGTCCTGACCTAGGAAAGCTCAGTGTCTTAACACTAAGTATTGTTTTATTTTTAAAACTCTTCATATAACTCATGAGTTGTCTGTCCAAAAATACCTGTCTATCGATCAGGTGCACATCATACATCTTTCAACACACTGCCAGACAACCCAATGCACTCTTGTCTTAAAACTGTTTATAGCATTAATGAGCCAACTCATCATCCAAGTGACTCATATCATCCTAGTGGGGGGAGGGAGGGGGGAGCTGACTGGCAGGGAGTGGGTAGTGTGATTGTATGAAGCGGAGGAGATTATTGACATCACCATTACCTTTTTAWTAACATTATACATACCAATTCATTCATTATTATATTGTGCTTGGAAACATTTACATTGCTGTAAAACCTA